TATTCAGTTGGAGTTTCAGCATGTGTTCTGGGGCGATCAAAACCAGTCTGTTTTTTGAAAATGCCTTTCCCTTTGCCTTTTCAGACTGGTTTTCCTTCCCGTTAGTCTGAGTTAGTGAAATGTCTGGGCTCACTTACACTTTGGTTCTGAACAGCAAACTCCCATGGTCTAAATGGCAAACTGTCCTGGGGTGGGGTGAGAGCCACAGTTGAAGCCATGCTCATCTATAGTATATGAGCTCATTCCAGGTGGCCTAGGGTGGCATTTGATAGGAGTTGAGATGATGAACATATGATTTCTTTGAATCTAGCTCTGGGCTCTACATCTCTCCCATTCAAGGAGTCTAGGTGAATCCAAAGAATTAAAGGGTGAATAGCCAACGAAGAGATGATTGGGCAAGACGACAGACCAACTGCAGCTGTAGTCCCCATCAGTTATCCATGTCTGTGGGCTGCACCACTCCAAAGCCAGTGCCTTAGCACAGCACCTTGTTCGGCTGGGTGGGTTTTCTTCGGGTCTCACTGGGCTCTTTGTGCATCTCGGTCAGTCGTGAGCAGGGCCTAGAGGGAATGGCTAGCAAGCCTGCCACTCCCCGCCCCCCAATCCCGCTTCTTTCTTTTCTTTTTTGGTGCTGGGGATTGAACCCAGGGGCATTTTATCACTGAGCCACATCCCCAGCCATTTTTGTTTTTTATTTTGACACAGGGTCTTGCTCAGTTGCTTAGGGCCTCACTGAGTTGTGAACTTGCAAACTTCCTTCCTCGGCCTCCTGAGTCATCGGGATTACAGGCAGGGGCCACTGTGGCTGCGCCTGGCTTTTCTCTAAGGCATGGGTCATCCTGACCCTCCTCCAGGCAAAGCAGTCTTAGGAGAGATGTCTTACTGGTCAAAACAAACCACTGTCCAGATCTGAGTCACTGTCCAAACCCAGGTGACTATGAGGGAAGGGACTATACAAGGACATGGGTTCTGAGAAGGGGTCTCATTGGTGGTCACTACTATGATATCTATCCTAATAGTCTATGCAATGTTTTAAAGGTTGTAACTTCAAGCCTGCCAAATCTAGAAATGGTGGTGCTGCACATGTTGGTGATGATCATGATACTATTATTAATAATGACTACTATTCTATTTGGTGCTTATTGAATGTCAGTGCATTCACTAGTGCATTTAGTAATTTAACCCTCACAGCAATTCTGCCAGTTCGATGCCACCCCTGAACAGACGAGGAAACAGGCTCAGAAAGGAGCAGCACATATCTCTAAGGACACTTGTGGCTGTAATTCTAACTGAAGTCAGAGAGGCATGGCCTGGATCTTTCCACCGTGGCCAAGAGATTAGATTTTTGGACAGTCTAAATCACATTTCCAAAGGAGGCCCTTGGACTTGTTGAAATGTAAGCAGCTTTCACCAAATAGCAGCTTGATGAGATGAGCATCGTGAATCACAAACATGAGGTTGATGTTTGTCTTCATCTGCACAAAGGGTTTGGCAGTTTCCAAGTTTCCCTGGCAAGCAGGATTCGGGCCTTGCCAAAACCTGAGGCTCTGGCATAACAGTCCTGGCGTCCAGGTCAGACCAGACCTCCAGCCCTCCTGCTGTCCAAATCAGAAGGCTGGCCTCCGAGGCCTCTCCTGCTGCTTCTTCCTGTCCTTGGACCCCAAGGACAGAGCAGCAGGAGGTATGGCCACATGTGGGAGCAAGATGGCACAGCACCGTTTCCTGGATCACTGTCAGAGCACAGTCCTGTAGGTGCCAGGAGCCCAAGCCTTGGAAATGGTGGCGGCAGGGCCCATCCTCGGGCACAGTGTCGGGAAGAAGCTCTGAGCAGGGAGGAGCTTGGCAGAGCCCCACAGGGAGGCTCACCCAGGGCCAACAGAGAGATGGCCTGCCCGATTCCTCCAAGATCGTGGATGTCAGTCTGAGGAAAAGCGGGTTTAAGACTGAAAGGGTTTGCACCAGACCTGGTTAGTTAGCCCCCCACACCCCCCACCTTTTGTAATTGCAAAATTTTTCTGAACCTTTAGTATCCTGATGGGCAACCCAGGAGGGCAGCAGCCACACGGCTGGTCCAGCCTGTCCACTGGTGCAGCAGTTGGTGCAGTGTTTGGTGGGCCTTGTGCTCTGCAGGAGGTTCCAGAAGAATGCTGTTTGGAATGTGTTCTCCCTCAGGTGCCATAACGCTAACTCCATGACGGCAGGCGCCGTGTCTGCTTTATTCAGTGACAAGTGGCTGAGAGATACTGAGTCAATCAATCAATCAATAAATGAACGCAGGACATCATGTCATCCCTTCCTCATGTGTTAAAGGCTCGGTCCCCAGCTTGGCCATATTGGAAGTGATGGAGATTAAGAGATGGGGCCTAGTGGGGAGACTTCAGGTCAGTGGGGGTGTGCCCAGGGATGGTGGAATCCTGATCTCTTCCTCTTCCTCTCTTTTGCTCCTGGCCATGAGGTGAGCAGGTTTTGCTTTACCCCATGCCCCCTGTTGTGATGGGCTGCCTTGCCACAGACCCCAAAGGAACAGGGCCAACCAATCATGGATCAGAAGTTCCCAAACTGTAAGCCAAATAAACCTTTTCTCTTTATAAGTTTGTTTATCTTAAATGTTTGTTATAGTAACAGAAAACTAACACCCTCCTAACCGTCCTTCTTTCCATCTCTCCCTTTCTTCTTCCTTTCCTTTCTTCCTTTTAATTTTTCCTTCCTTCCAAGTAACTTGTTCTGTCAGGCACGATGCTAGGGACACAAAAATGAAACAAAACAGGTCGACCACAGAGCCATATCCCCAACCTCTTAAAGAGCCAAATTTTGGGACCGAGTCTGTTAAATTGCCAAGGTTGACCACCAACTGGCAGTTCTCCTGCCTCAGCCTTCCTAGTCATTGTGATCTCACCACATGCCACCATGCCCAATCAATTAATAAGTTAATTATAATTTTTGACTGCAGGAGACTAATTTTTTTGCCCCTGTAGCTGGGATATTAAAAAAAATGAATGACAGTTAGCAAGGTGAGTGTGAGTGTGAAGGAGCAGGAGCAAGACAATTTCCAAAGAGAGCCAGGAGTACATGCAAAGGCCCCGGGGTACAAGGGATCCTGGTGCTCTCTGGGGAACAGAGAAAAAAGGGATGGTGATATTCTTAAGCTGGAGCACAGGAAGCCTCTGGAATATTTTAAGCAAATGAGGGACATGATTATATTTGAGTTTGGAAAATATTCTCCTGCCTCCTGTGAAAGATGTGCTTCCTCATAACTGCTGAGAGAAACTCTGACAAGGGACTGGTGGCTTATTCTTGGCAAATCAATTCATTTTGATAGACTTCAGTTTCTTCATTTATTTTTCTATACTGAAGATTTAACCCCGGGGAGCTTTACCACTGAGCTATATCCCCAGTCCTTTTTTTGTTTTGTTTTGTTTTGAAACAGAGTCTTACTACGTTGCTGAGGGTATAGCTAGATTGCTAAGGCTGGCCTCGAACTCATGATCCTCCTGCCTCAGCCTCCCGAGTTGTCGGGATTATAGGAATATGCCACCATGCAGGGCCTCAGTTTCTCTATCTTGATAGTGAGTTTGGATTTAGTGACTGATACTTCCTGTCCACCTGGGTGCTCTTCCATCTGTTTTCTCTCTAGTGCTATCTCTCAGGGGACACTCAGTTCCCGGGGAGAAGAAATCCTTTGTATTTTTCAGTTCTTCTCGTAAGCATGTAACATGAACACTTGCAAGTGAGTTCCCACGTGCACCAGGACCCATATGTGAAAACACCTAGAAAGGACATAAATGGAAGTGTCATATTGGTCCTCCTTTCCTTTGTGCAATGTATCTGCGATACCTAAACAAAGTCCTGCAGAGGTTCTCTTGCCTGTACCAACCTTCAGGAAATGACTGCCTGTGGACAAATTAGAGGAAGATGTTCACTTTAGCATTGCTTACACATAGCGAGAGAGTGGGAGTCACCACTACTTAGTGACTAGTGAGATTTTGACACATTCATAGCATTCAACAATAAGTAGCCACTAAAAGCATTAAGAGGAGCTTCTGTGTAACAGAATGGAAAATTTTCAGGACATTCTGATGGGCAGAAAAACAAGCTGTGGAACAATAAATAAAGTCTGAAAGAAGCACAGGGATGCTGTGAGTTCTGTATCATGCGTCCGGGCAAAGAAGAAAGATTTGAAGGAGAAACACTTAACTGATTACAGGTTGCCCCTGAATTAGGGTGATAATTGTCAGGGGGAATCCTTGCCTTCTCAGTAATAGTCCTGTTTTTGAAAGGAAGAGTACATTTGTATATTTCTTATATAAATGTAAATTAATTAAAAATAAGATATTGGGGCCCTTGAAGCTACAATGGAAAATATTGTCCAGGTTCACTACTGAGGTGAGGGTGCACGGTGGGGTGAGGGATAGTTTCCCATTTCTTTTTTCTTTATCTGATCGACTTCACATTTTTCATAATGAGCATGTATTTATATATTCGTGGTGCAATAAGAAAGGGGAAAAGGAAGTAACTTTTCCAATTTAGCTCTTCTCCAAATGAGCTCAGCAGCTAGGAGCACTCGGGGGAACTGAGGCTCAGAGATCCATGTGACCGGCAGGAGCCGGCGGTGAGTCAGTCAGTCAGGGAGGATGAGGCCGTCCACAGTGCCTGCCCGCGTCACGTGACGCCAGAGGATAGCAAACTGGCTTGTTTTGCAACCCAGGCAGGTCCTTTAACCACAGGCCTGCTGGCTGGCCCCATGCAGCTGGGGGCGATGGTGCCAACCCTCTTCCCTCGAATGAGTCATGCCTCTTCCCGCAAAGCTGGGGGAGGAGGTGCAGAAGTTGGTCTCTGGGGCAGAGATGCAGCTACTGCTCATGGGTCCTGCCGGACAGGGTCCCCTGGGGGCTGAGGGGCCCCAGGGGTGGTGGGAGAAGTTCAGAGGGGGTTACTGCTCTCGTGTATAGAATAACACAACCATGGACATCTGCTTCAGACCATGGCAGTCAGTGCCCGGGTGTGACCATTAAGAGGTGGGGTTTAGGGGGATTCCATCAAGCATTGAGTGAGTGCCTATTATGATACTGTGCTCATGTGTCATTAATGACCTGCAAGACACTGATTGCTGGCTCCATTTTACAGATGACGAAACTGAGCCTCAGGGGAGGTAAGTGACTTGTCCAAGTTCTAAGGTCCAAGCTAGTAAGAGGCAGAGATGGGATTGGAAACCAGCCGATGTGCTCCCCCGTGGGTGCTTTGGAGACCACTTCTCCTGGGGCGCACTCTCGGATTTGCTGGTGGGAGGAAGAAGTGAGGGAGGAGAAGTGAGAGGTCCTCGCGGATAGCAGTCATGACGATAGATGTGATCTCTCTGCCAGGTTCCAGGCTGCGTGCTTCTTGCTCGGATGCTCTTTAGTCCTCTCAATGACAGGTGAGATAATCGTCCCTGTCTGCAGATGGACAAACTGAGACTTGGAGAGTAAATGACTGTCTAACCACACAGCCAGGAAGAAGAGGCAGTGTTCCAAACCAGGTCTATGTGATTCTAAATCCTGCCCTTTGATACACATAAGCCCTTTCAGGGGCAAGTTCTCACTCACCCTCAGTATCCGGGGGTGGGGGGATCACCTCCTCCTCAAAGGCTTTCTCAGCTCCTCAGCGGGAGCTCCTCACCTATGTCCCCTGTGGCTCCCTGACCACGTGAATCTTTATTGAAATGCTTTACTCATCTATGCAGGGGACTGTGAGGGATTGTCCTTTAGGGGAGGGATTGTATCACGTTCATCAATTATTTTTTAAATTCTCTGATCATGATTTTCTGTGCAGGAGCTAATGCAGAGGTTACATTATGGCTTTAAAATAGAGCCGTGGATCTGGATTTGAATCCCAGCTGGGCTAGGTGATGTGGGGCCGTTATTTTTCTTCTTTCAGCTCCATCTGTAAAATGGAAATCCTAATGTCCACTTCTCAGTCCTTGGAAGGATGAGTGAAATATTTATGTGAAGTGCTGAGCACGGTGCCTGAGGCACAGAGCACACTGATGCCATTAGCCCTCTGGTCTTGCCCAGTCATGGATCAGGAGGTGACTGGCTGGGGGAGCATGGCTGCCCTGGTCACTGTGGCTGCTCCGACTCCATGGGTAGGACCCCATGCAGAGCTTTAAGTGCTGTCCAGGATTTACATCCCCTGTATTGATCAGAGGTGGCGACTAACACCCAAATTTATAATGCAGAGGGATAGACTGAGACGAACAAATCCACACCCCCAAATTCATGTGTGAAATAATAGAAAGAGGACACACACTTTTAAAAACATGTAAAAAATTTTAATTCTTAATTCTGATCAAGGAGATTAAAATAATTTACATTAGTTATCTGATAAACAAAGAAAATCTTTTTTCCTTCTGATTTCAGTGCTGATGGGATTGGATGGAAAATCATGTACGCAGGTACCACCTGGGACCATCCGGAGCCTGAGAAACTCTTGGGACACTATGAGAATCCATTGTCACATTTTGATATTGATTCTGAGAAAAATAATCTTGGAGAAAGGTCCAGTTATAAGTAGAAGATGTTATTCCATCAATATCTAGAACAGCAAGAACCTGGATCCTCCTTGATGGGCCATTTATAGGGGAGTGGCAGAGCAAGTCATGGTGTATTAATGCAATCATCTTCAGTGTCCACGGCGGCAGAGATCTAACACATGTAGAATGCCTGGAAAGCAGAGTCTAAGCTGGACTTTACACTATGAATGCAGTCGTGTTAAATCTGTGCAATGACAAATGTGGGCAATGGAGGAAGGTCAAAGGCAAAATTGAAGGGTTACAGCTGGGGCGGGGGCTGTGATTTGCATCGAATGTTATTTGGACTGAGTCACTAGGAAATCCTATAAGTGACCTGGAGAGGCCCAGACTTTGGGATTCCAAACCAAGAATCTGGCCCACCAGGCTGACCAGCCTCTGTGTGCATGGCTTACAGTAGGGCTTCATCAGAAATTTCCCGAATACAGCCTCCATGCTGGCCCCAAGCTAGACATACATGCAAATGCCCCTTGTCTGGCTTCAGGAAGCCAAATGATCTTCACCAGGGATTTTCAGGAGGTCAAAGCACTCTGATCTGGACTGGAAGGTTCTCCATGAGTGTTCTGCAAAGCTGGTCAGCTGGGGCTGGTCTTGCTTGATGGCACTGGAGAGCACTTTCTATGGAAGCAAAGAGTCCTGCAAGAGGGGGGCTGCCTGAGGCCTAATGGAGCTGATTGGAGCCCTGTGCAGTTAGTAAGTTAGACTGCATGTGACAATCATGCCTTTGGGCCCACAGGGCCATTTCCAACTTTAGACAAAGCAAAGGCAAGAATGGAACCATTTCCGTTTGAAAAGTACTCCATAGGGGCCTTTAAAGCAGGGCAGAAGATGTCCAGTTCCCAAGCCACCATCTCCCCAGAGTCCTCTGGCTGGACCCCTTCCTTAGACGTAGGCTCCTGCACCCCGCTCCCACTCTGGTCTCCATCCCAGGCAGCCTGGCCTCTGCCCAGCTGCTGAGAACAGCTTTGCCAGTTAACACCCAACCCTGCCTCAAAAATCACACCCCGACAACTTGGATAGCTTGAGTTGCCAAAGATTGGGCTCGGTCAAGACTCTGGCTTTGCTGCCGTTCATTCATTCGTTCATTTTTTTTTTTTTTTAAATCTGTTCCTCCATTCCTAAGCACCACTCATTCTATGCCAGACATTGTTCTAGGCCCTGGGGATATGGCAGGACCATGGTGGGTCCAAGTGAATAATAAAAAGTCGAGAGAATAACACATTTTCCTAAGTTCTATAAAAGGAATCAACTGGGTGTTCTGCTGCAGAACAATGGGTAGGGGTGAGGGGGGCAGACCTTTGTTCCATTGGGGTGGCCGGAGGAGACCTTTCTGAGAAATGTCAGTTCAGCAAAGTCCAGAAAGAAGAGATAAAGCCCTGGTGCAATGAGCTGGGGAAGAGCCTTCTGGGCAGAGGCCCTTCTCTCCTGCTTTCCTCTCTCTGACCCATGTTCTATCTCTTTCTCTCTTTGGCTGATCCTTTGTTCTCCGTGGTATTTTGGCTTCTGGTTTCCCTGGTCTGCGTCTGGCCGGGTCTCTCTCCATCTCTTCTCTCCACTTTTCTCCCTCTTTCCGTCTCCCTAGCTGAGTCCCTTTTTCTCAGCCTCTCTCTTTTGGTCTCTCATGTGTCTTCTGGGCCTGTCACTTTCTTCTTCTCTCTCTCCCCTGTATTTCTCTGTCTTCACCTGACTGGCTCCAGCTCTCTCCCCCTCTTTCCCCTCCTCTGTCCCATGTCTCTTCCATTCCCAAGCACAGGCCACTGGGAAACCCGTCTGACTGATATTGCCACTGACAGCTAAAGCCTGTAAATCATTCCCACGGCACATCTCTGGGAGGTGGTAAGCCGGCAGTGTTTTGTCTGTACCCCAGAAAGACAGGGTTTTTTAAACAAATATATACATTCTCAGAAATCCAAGCGATTGTATTTCTCCATTGATCCATTATGACGTGGAGGAAGCGAAAAGCTTCCCCGGTGCCTCGGGGGAAATTGCAGAGTGAGCAAGCTGCACTGGGCGAAGAGGGAGGAGGGAGTGGAAATCGGCCCAGTGGGGCCCTGGTCAGAGCCTGGGCTCCAAGGACCTGAACAAAATTACTTATTTGTAGAAGGGAGAGGGAATACTTCCTGTTGGGGGAATCAGAGAAGGCAACATGATGTCAAGTGTCAGCTCTTTTGTAAAGCCTTCCCGATCCCCCAGCCCTAAAGAGAAGTGACAACTCATCCCCCTTGTCTTCACCTTGCTGCATGTGAGTGTCTGATGACCCAGGGGTGCTCAGCTTTACACCCTGATGACCATCCCAAGGCCTCTGTCCTGTCTGGCTGAGCCAGTTTCCTAAAATGCTCATGATTGGTCTAAGTAACCCCTACTTGGTAGGTGGGAAAGTGCCTCAGTTTCCTCTTTTCTAAAATAAGGGTGTCTGCATGCTTGGAAACTAATAGATGCTCAGTGAGGTGTTACTATTTAAAGTCACTGCCGTTAATAATTGTTACTATTATTATCATCATCACTGTCAATATCATCATCATCCTTATCATCAAATTCTTCAGGCTTGGGAGCCAAGTTAATTGGACATCGAATACTAGCTCTCTGAGTTATGAATGAATAGAAAGGGAGATTTTTGGTGCAAAAAGCTAGGGATCACCCCTGTGGACTTGTACAATTCCCACATGTTCTTTCACACTGCTGGCCTTTGTGCAGAGATATTTGTAGAACTTGGGTACCTTGGGTATGATAGGCGTTCAGGGAGTGACAGACAGCTCCTCCTCCCTACTTCCTGCTCCGTTTGCAAAGCTGTCCCCTGTCACACAGCTCCTGGCTGGCTCAGTGTCTTCCTGGAATCCACCTGACTGGAGGACCTCAAAGACCTTGGGCAACTAACCCCTTTTGCCTACAAAGCCTGGGCTCACCCTGAGCATTGGCTACAGGGTTTTAGGATGCTCAACTGACTTGGTTTGAGAACTTCTTGCCTCTTTTCTTTGAGCATTAGGTTCCTCAAGTGTAAAACAGGTATATACTTAGAGCTTCCTTGCTTAATGTCCCAACCAAACCACATGTTGAAATTTAATCCCCATTGTGAAGTGTTAAGAGGGTGGGAACTTCATCCTATTGTGGTATGGGGAGGGCTGACCTTTGGTAGGTAATTAAGGTTAATGAGGCCATAAGGGTGGGGCCCTGTTCCAATGAGACTGTGGCTCTATAAGAAGAGGAGAGACCTGAACCAGGACCTTGTCTTGCCTGTGATGCCCTGTGCTGTCTTGGAACTCTAGAGTCTCCACCAGCCAAAAGGACTTCAGCAGATGCAGTCACTTGATCTTGAACTTCTCCATTTTTAGAACTGTGAGCTGATTAAATCTTAATTTTTATTCTTTATAAATTAGTTCATGGTATTTAGTTCTAGAAAAATGAAGGAAGGTAGAGCTTAAATGTAAGGATTAAATGAGTTAATGCACTCTCTATCCTTATCCTAATGTGAACTAGTCAGGGCAAAAATTATGTCTGATTCAGCTTTGAACTTCTAGAGCTGTGCTGACCAATATGGTAGCCACAAGCCAAGTGTGGCTATTCAGCCTTTGAAATATGGCTAGTCAGGGCTGGGCTGGGTGGCAAGTGCAAAATATACACTGGATTTCAAACACGGAGTGTGAGAAGAATGCAAAATAACTAAATAGTCTTTCTATTGATTGCACATTGACATGATGGTATTTTGGAGGTGTTGAGTTAAATGAAACCAAGGGGAAATTATTTGTTAAATAGTATCCATATATTAGATTAAAGGAAATGTATGAAATATATTAAATACACCGAGGAATGATAACAAAATAACTATTCAACAATAAGCTTATTCTTTAAATTGATTTTACTTGTTTCTTTTTCTTTCATGTGGTCACTAGGAAACTTAAAATTACACACGTGGTTCACATTATAGTTCTACCAAACGGTGCCACCTTAAAACACAGGGAAGAATCTGCTAAGCTCAAGTTGGCAATAGATGCATGGGAGGGATGAAGAGATGGGTAGGGGGGAGAAAAATAAAAATAAAGATGAATGGCCAGATAAATGATTTAATAAGTAGAAAGATGAATGAATGGGGCAGATAGACAAATGGAAAGAAATACAGAATGATAGAATAAAAGTGGCTAGAAATAAAAATGATAGATCAATGGATACATAAATTACTACAAAGATTAAATAAGTAAGTGTCTAAGTACCACATAAATACCCAAAGAAAAGGAAGAACAGATGTCCTGGGGAACCAGGACTTGACTTTGACAAGCAGGCTTACTCTTCTTCCTGAGCATTTGGAGTCTAAGCCTTTGACCAAGAAAAAAGCTCTCCCCTTGCTCTTGGGGAATTTATTATTTTAATTGTTAGCCTTCATCAGAGGTTATTGGAATTTTTTTCCCCCTTGGACAGTTTATCACTTGTAAATTATTTGTCACATCCTTGCAATTCTATCCAGATCCTTAACTTTCTAATCATGCATCTTTTATGGGGTCTCCTTTAAAGAAGCACTATAATTACGTGCCAAGGGTCCCAGTAAATTTTATCAGGCCATAAAATATTATACTTTAATTATTTGGAAGGAGAAGAAAGGCAAATCTTCCTCCTGCAAGTCTGGTGATCAATACTTCAGGGCTCTGGGTAGTACAGGCCGGCCCCATGTCCTCCCTCTGGCGTCCCTCTGAGAGGACCCTTGTGTCCTGCCCCCTTGTGTCCTGCCCCACTGGTGGGGGGGTATCTGCATAGAGCAGTGGGCCCCAGGTACCGCTGCATCTTCCATGTCTGTCTAATGGACCCCGGCTCATGCTACGCTCCTCTGTGGTGTTCATCATTTAAGCGATTTCTTTATGCACAGCAAGCTTAGGAGGTTTCGCGGAGAATGCTGTTTGTTTTTCCTTTGTTACAGGTGAGGAAACTTAGACCCAAAGAACAATTAGAGATGGGAATCTCTCCAGCTTTCTTGATTCCGTGGTGATTTTTTAATTCTCCTCTTCTTTTTCCCACCAGGCCACAACTGCTGCTATGAATGCAAATCAGAGAACATATATGGGCTCAGAGGGTTGGGCCCACTTCATTCTCAAGGGTTTTATAGTCAAAATGCTTTGTTATGGTGGCATCAGTGCTTTGCATGAATCACTCAATCTGTTTATTCTCACTGGGTCCTGGTGCTGGGGTGTAAGAGTGAAAAGACAGGCTCATCCTTCTCTGGAGCTCAGGTCCCTTGGGAGATAGGCATCCATCAGGTCATTTCATAGATCATGGGAATTGTATGTCTAGTAACTGCTAGGGATGAGCGTGGATGGGGCTTTTAATGAGTTGGGAAGGTCTCTAAGGACTATCCTCTAAGTGATCTAAGATCTGAAGAATAAAGTAGAAGTCAGCTAGGTAAATAGGTCAGGGAAAAGTATTCTCCTAAAGGGCTGGCATATGTAAAGGGCCTGTGGTGGGAAGTTTGGGAAGAAAATACAGGGTGGACGAGTGGAGTTACCAACGAGGCATGGAGCTACTGGGCCATGCTGAGGATATGATATCTTAAAAGCACCGACTTTTCAGGACAAGGTTCAGGTGAGATAAAAGGTCATTTTCCAAGGTGGTACAGGCCAGGTGACATTTATGCTAGGAATTTTCCTAATCCTTTACATCAGGGGTCTGCCAGTCTAATTTTTTTTTTTAAATAAAGTTTTATTGGAATACAGTCAGTGTGTTTGCACGTGTCCTTGTTGGGTTTCTTGCTACCATGGGTGGCAGAGTTGAGCAGCATGACACAAATTACATGGCCCTCGAAGCCTAAGATATTTGCTAGTGACCCTCAGTGCAGAAGAAGTGCTGGGGACCTGAAGGAATGTCAGGAGACTCCTCTGTCTAAGCACAGGGGCAAACTCAAGGAGAGGAAGGTGGGGAAGATGACTAATCCCCACTCGTCCTTCTGGTCTTAGCTTCTATGTCATTTCCTCGGGGAGCCCTTTGTTGACCCCCAGTTGGGCCGGCTCTCCTCCATAGTGGCTCCCCACCCTTTGTTTCCTTTTTCGCAACACACAACACTATTCCTGCCACGTCTTACTCAATGGTCTCCTCCCCGGGCTGCCTGTGGGCCCCACTCGGAGCCCTGATCACTGCTAATGGTTCCTCTCCTGGCCCAGGACGCTGCACCTGGTGGACAGAGGAGACCTAGAGCTGGGTAGACTAGTAAATGGGGAGGGGGTGCCC